AAAGTATACAATCCAGGGAGCATCCAGAAAGGGTAGGTAATGCTTATGGGTTTAACTCATGGACTGTTATTTGAATTCCCTTACTCCTAAGCCAACAGTGTGTAGTTTTGGCAGTGTAACAGCTTTGTAGGAATAAGGGCTAGTTTCATGATGTAAAATAAGTTTGAGTGAACTAAGTTTTTTAATAAAAGGCTAATATTGGGCTACCAGTGGTTTCCTAGGTACATTCATACTTTACTTAAATTTTAACTCCATTTCATCTGATTATACCAGTCACTAAAGAACACGTGATTTGTAGGTAGTTGGTCTTGGCTTCAACTGTCACATCTGCCATTTTACAAGCTAGATCACCATGGGCAAGTTACTGAACTTCTTTGATTCTGTGTACTAAACTATAAAATGGAAATAATCTTTATATTTTAAAAAACTGCTATGAGAATTAAACAAAATGTATCTAAGTGTTTTGTCTGTGTTAGAAGTTCAACAAAATTGGCTTTCTTCCCCAATTTCTTTTTTAAGACAATGTGACTGTTATATATGATATGTCCTCCAAAAATTCTTGTATGATAAAATGCAAGAAAGTTCAGAATAAAATGACTGGGTTATTTTTATTTTATTTTTATTTTAATTAGAGATTAATGGTTATACATAGTAGTTAGACTCATCCCAACAAATTCATACATGTATGGAAATCAATTTCAGTTCACGATCCCTATTTTTCCCTCTTGCCCTCCCCACTCCCCTTCTTCCTCTACTGACTTCCTTTTACTATTAATTTGTATTTGAGTGGTTCTTTATGCAGTAAAATTCAGAGTGAAATGATTGGGTTATGAGAGCCTTAACCTCATCAGAGCATGAATCCCCTGATAGGGATCACCTGGGTGGCGACTACAGGCAGGTAGGGTGTGGCTGGAGCAGGGGGGTCACTGAGAGAGTGCGTTTGGAGTATATATTTTTTGCTTGGTGAGAGAAGAAGTCTCTCTGTGTGTTTCCTCTTGCCATTCTCCCAGCTGCTTTCCCCCACTACACACTTCCACCATGATGTCCTGCCTCACCTCAGGCCCCAAGAAATAAAGTCAGCCATCTATGGACTGAGGCCTCTGAAACTGAGAGCCAAATAAAACTTTCCTCCTCTAAAATTGTTCTTGTTAGGTCTTTTGGCCACAGCCATGACAAAGCTGACTAAAACAATGACCTTAAAAAAAAATATAAATATAAATATATATATATATATATATATATATGTGTGTGTGTGTGTGTGTGTGTGTGTGTGTGTGTGTGTATTAGGCTGTATCCTTGTAGAAAATTGTCATTCCCTAGATATCTAAAGGCATTTAGAAGAAATATTTAGTACTTCAGAATATATAATGTTTTGGAGAAATAACTTAGAATTTTCCAGATGGTCCTTAAAAAATGAAATAGACAAATTCTCTGCTACTGTGAACCAAATGCATTAATTATGTCCAAAAGCTATATAGAAATAACTCCTGATATTCTTTCTCAAGATATGAATCATTTAAAAAAATATGTCAGAGGATGTTATTATGCTCAAGACTATTTGGAGACCCCTGGCTTGTTTCTTGCATGTGACTATAACACAATGATATAGCAGATGAAAGGAGAACAAAAAAATTCAAAGAAGACATGCCAAATCCTCCTCTATTAGTTGAAAAAACACTCCAAGTAGCTATTTATTATCTTGTAGGATTATTATACTTCATGGTATTACATAACAAAATGATGATAGGAACACCAATTCCAATACAACAGTAACTTCAAAATATTAGTAGGGTAAGAACTCAAATGCTAGATGCACATGTTTGTAAAATATTTTATGTTCATTCAACTTTTAGGCAATTAATAAATAAATTTGAGAATGGGGTACAGTGAAAAAATAGCTAGAACTATATTATCAGCAAAATGCTACTAGATATATAATTTGTGAAGACTAGAAAAAATTGATAGCATTAGGTCCTGGTTACTTCTAAGATTTGGAAACCAAAGCTCAGATGTTTCTGTTTACCACTAAAACTATGTTTCCTTCAACCAACAGCACAAATAACAAAATATCTGATGATATTAGCAGAACTAGATGCACCTCATTCACAATATCACAATGTCCTTCTACTTCGACACAACCTGGACTGAAAATTTTAACAAATAATCTTTCATTTTCATTGTTTGTTTTTCTTCCATGTTTCTTACTTTCCTAGTTGGTACCAATGGATATCATTACCTTGGTTGCTGACCAATAGCAATTCCAACTCTGAATTGAATCTTACATTTCAGTTAATGTTTTTAAGAGTTTAGAAACACACTCTTAATAAAGTATAAAAAAGTAAAGAATACAGAAAATGAAATCCATAGAAACAGGCTTATTCTTACTGACTTCAAAAATGTAGTATTTAAATCTAAACTGTCTCATTATATTCAAGGGTTTCTATGATTAAATAAAATCTCCCTATTCTTTAAAAGATTAAATCACACCAGATATTTTATCTTTTTTTAAAGAGAGAGAGAGAGAGAGAGAGAGAGAGAGAGAGAATTTTTTAATATTTATTTTTAAGTTTTCGGCGGACACAACATCTTTGTCTGTATGTGGTGCTGAGGATGGAACCCGGGCCGCACGCATGCCAGGCGAGCGCGCTACCGCTTGAGCCACATCCCCAGCCCAAGATATTTTATCTTAAGAACAAACAATAAGCAATAAATTTGGAAAAGTTCATAAGACACCATGAAGAAAAAAAAGTATAGACTTTAAGGAGTTGGAATTATTTAATTTATAAAGGAACTGCCTTAAGAACAATTAATAGTTTTCCAATATGTAAAAGGATTTTATTTAGGTTGTTTAATACACCTCTGTTTTTATAGAATACCAGAGGATAAGTTTGAACAGCAACAAAGATGGGAGATTAATAGTAAGGGATTATTTTAAATGATCTATCAATATAATTATTTGCTCAGAGATTTATCTAATAAAAAAGGTGATTTCACATTGAAAATATCCATCTTGGCATTATTTCACAAGTGGCCTATTTAGTATTCTTTAGTATAATTTTCTTCAATTCTCCTTTAGGCAGCCTTACATTTTCTGTCTGATTTTTCGTTAGTCCCACAAAGCCCAATTCCTAAACCTTTGCTATTTCTGTTAGTTTTGTTCATTTTGTACACCTTCTATTGTTTAACCCATCTATTCCTACAGTTCTGTAGAATGACTTCATGTTTGATTTCCTATCTTCTAATCTATTATATATATATATATATATATATATATATATATATATATATATATGATATTAACATATATATAAGTAATCAAAAAATGTCTTGCAGTCATCTCCAACTCCCTAAAAAAAAACTTTCCCCAGTCTTTTCTTTTCTTTTTTAATGGTTCCTTTAGTTATATATGACAGTAGAATCCATTTTGACATATTTATATAAGCATGAAATATATTTTATTCTAATTAGAACCCCATTCTTGTGGGTATATACAATGATGGGATTCACTTAAGTATTTTCATATATATTCTCAGGAAAATTATATTAGATTCATTCTACTGTCTTTCCTATTCCTATCACTTCTCCCTTCCCTTCATTCTCCTCTGTTAATCCAATGAACTTCTCTTCTCTCCACTCCCCTCCTTTGTTGTGGTATAGCTTCCTCATATCAGCAAAAACATTAGACCTTTGGTTTGGGGGGATTTGCTTATCTCACTTAGCATGATAGTCTCCAGATTCTTCCATTTATCAGCAAATGTCAAAAAGTGCTTCTTATTTAGGGCTGAGTAATATTCCATTGTGTATATATACCATAATATCTTTATCCATTCATCTATTGAAGGGCATGGCATCTAGGTTGGTTCCATAGCTTAGCTATTGTGAATTGTGCTGCTGTAAGCATTGATGTAGCTGCATCACTGTAGTTTTCTGATTTTAAATCCTTTGGATATATGCCAAGGAGTGGGATACCTAGGTCAAATGGTGGTTCCATTCCTAGTTTTTAGAGGAATCTCCACACTGCTTTCCAGAGTGGTTGCACCAATTTGCAGTCCCACCACCAATGTATGAGCATAAACTTTTCCTCACATTCTCACTAACATTTACTGTTGCAAAGTCACTGGTCTCCCAGGTTCCCAAAATGAGAACCCTCAAGTCACCTTTGAATATTTCATTGTTACCACTCATTTTCTTGCCACCCTTTCCTTAATAATTCCCCTCAGACCGTCTTTTCATCTTCATTCCCCCCACTGTTATCTTTATCTCCTTATATCTGTGCTGCAACAATTGCAATGGCCTCCTCTTTGGTCTACCTAGCTCTAGTCTTCTATCAGCCTAATTAGTCCTGAAAATATAGGAATGACAACACAGTGTGATATTTTATTAATATTTTATTATTGGTATGCTCCTATTCAAGACTCTTTGTGTGTTTTTTTTTGGGGGGGGGTTGGTTTTCTTTGTTTGTTTGTTTGTCTGTTTATTTTTGTGGTACTAGAGATTGAACCCAGGGTTTTGCAAATGCTAAGCACATACTTTATCATTGAGCTATACCCCCAGCCCCAGTTTTCTTCATTATACAACATAAAATTAAGTTGATTTTGTCTAACTTCTTTTAGATTATATCAGTGGCATTGGGATCCTATTCTAGCACTGAACTAAAAAATCCAGAGGTTCCCATACCCCCCTCTACCATTCTCCCCTTGTCCTCACAAGGTCCCTAAGGGAGATAAAGGACTCATGGTAAATAAATAAATTTGGTTTATATGTTATATTAACAGAGTTTCTAAAACATTTACAAGATTGTAGAAAACTGAGGAGCAACTGGAGGGTGATGCCTAAAACACAGCTTCCCTATTCTGCAAGCAAGGCCAGATATTACCAAAAAAAAAGAAAAATCACCAAGTCAGATAATTATAACTCTTAGAAAACTAAGTGCTAGTAGGATTGGAGAAGACAAAGCAGACAGACAGACAGACAGATAGTATGGAGTTGAGAATAAGTACCTGCCTTGAGAAGAGCTCATTCTTCTGCCTGTGGGTAAGAAAATAGCAGTCGCAGCAGCAGTAAGAGAACTTGCTGGCCCAGGAAAAAGGCTGGAACTCTCTTGCAAATCTTGTCAGAGGTCAAAGAGAAGCCAGAAAGAGCATTCACCCTTGTGTGTGACCTTTTGGCACATGTATGTAAAAGTGGCCTGATCCAAATCAAGCCGTCTTGCCCAATCTGATGAGCAGCTTGGTTGTGCCCACTCACTACAGTTTACAAGGCTCTTTGGAAGCAAGCCCCTGGCAGCCTGGTTTTTCACTGTTCTCAGTTTTGTTTTGTTTGTTTTTCTCTGCATTTCATAGTGTCCAGGCACATTTCCACGTCCTGGATTATAATTTTCCTTTATTTAATCCTTCATATAACTAAATCGTTGGCACTCTTTCAAGACCATGTTGTGAATGGCGCCTTTTATCAAAATCTTCTACAACTGTTGCCCACATTGATTACAAATTTTCCTGAATTTCCATGATTTTTATCAATATATCTACCCTATTTTGCACTTAATTATTACTTAATGACTTTATGTGTATAAATTTATGTGTGTGTGTGTATGTGTGTGGACTCATTTAATGAATAAACCATATCTTTCTTTTCTTTCAAGTTCCTAGTGTGGTACCTATTACATGTAAAATACAGAGCTAGAAAGGGCAAATACAGAAATAGAAAGCAATTATAAATGATTGTTAGATCTACACAGCACTATTAAATAAGATCATAATGAAAGCATGTAGCCTGGTCTTCCTCCTTGGGCCATTTGAAACCAACCAGGAATAATATTCAGAATACTTAGCAATCATTATTGAACTGGCACCGACAAATGAGAATGGGTTCTGACTGGTAAGGTATCAAATTTATGTAACATATGGACAGTGCAAACTCCAACTAGTTCAGAATCAAAATAAACTAAAAGTTTAATTCCTAATTGTTCAGAGATTGGCAGTTAGTCTGTAGCTATATATTACATATATTTTAACCTTTTAAAATAGATCCACCTACAAAGCCAATCACAAAAACGTAATACTAAACCCAAATGCATCTTCTTTTTTTCCTCCTGCTACCATGGCTCTCCAATTTACATATATGTGATTGGCTAACTGTACACTATTTCACATTTTAATAGCATCATATTCAAAATGTCATGGTCCACAGTACATGATTAGTATCTGCGTTGACATTCCAATAACCATGTCGTTGTTGCAATAGCAAACACTACTGAATAGCAGCCTCTAGAATAATTTAATGAAGTTCTTACTGATAAATTCTTATGTAGAAGTTCTTTGGGGCATATTATGCTTTGGATATAAGGTGTCCCCTAAAAGCTTATATGTCGACATAGGAGTATTCTGAGGTAAAATGGTCAGGTTATGACAGTTGTAACCTGATCACTCCACCCCTGAGTGCACTAACTGGCTGGTAACTATAGGCAGTTGGGAATGGCCGGAAGAGGTAGATCACAAGAGAAAGGGGTGTGCTGGAAGGATTCCTCTTCTCTGTGCCCTTCCCCTTTCTTTGCTTCCTGCCTACAGTGTCCGGAACTGCTCCTTTTTTCTGTCACACTCTACCACCAGGATGCCCTGCCTCACCTTAGGTCCAGAGCAATGGAGTCTGCTGGCCGTGGACTGAAACCTCTGAAACTGTGAGTCCAAAATAAACTTTTCCCTCCTCAAAGTTGTTCTTATCAGGTATTTTTGGTTACAAAGACGAAAAGCTGACTAATACAAGATCTATGTTGTAGGTGTGCACAATTTTACAGAAATGTATTCCTACATGAGTTATGGAATACTTCTATTCAGCCACCAGTTAAAAGTAAATTTAACTGTAGAAGTAGCCTTCTACATACTTCCAACATTAATGAGGCAAATTTGATGTTTTGTTGCATTCAGTCAGTTCCCCTTTAATATTACTTCAAAATACTGCTAATGACATGAATGTCACATGACAGCAATATGAAAGAGAGATTTTGTTTAACTTGTCAATTTACTCTTTTTGGTTTGCTTTTTGCATTGGTTCCATATTTTACCTGTCAAGTTGTGAAAACTCGTATTTCTAAACTGAATTCTTAATATATTATTGGATAAATTGTGTGATTTTAAAGACAATGGATTAGTCTCCATCCAAGAGCTAAAGCTATAGATATTTTTTATTTTTTTTTTTAAAGACAGAAATGTCTTGCTGGGTGCTAACACCTTCAGAAGCTATTATTATAGCGCAGCAGAGGACGACTCTCTTGCAGATGGAGAGCAATGTTAAGATTCACACCAGACCTTGTCCTTCTATGCCTTTTCCCCCTGTGCAAAGGAATCTGTCAGATCTTATTCCTTTCTTTGAAGAAATGCCTAAAGAATGTCAGTTCAGTCTGGCTACACTTAGGCATCATGTGGAAGATTGTGGATGTCTTCAAGAGAAAGACACACATTCTGAAAAAATGTAATTTAAGGGTTATCAAAAGGAAGTATTTTGGCTTTCTGTGACTTGGTGGAAAGTTTACTCCTTTTACATAGTAATTTTTTTTTTTTACATTTTACTGTGCTCTTTCCTTTTCAAAGCATTTTAGAATTAAATTTCTTATTTGATTTTCATTATAGTCTAGATGTCATTTGGTTATTTTACTATGTTTTTAGTCAAAACCAGTACTGTTATTTTGTGTTTCCTAATCACCAGAATGAGTAGCTTATGTTTAATTATTTTTCTAAGTGGACTATAGACAATATCAACCAGTATAGAAGAGTATAATTATTTCTCTCATTGGTAATTGTGAACACTGGGGACAATACACTTTCATTTGGCTATTTCTGATTATACAACAAGACTCTAAACCCTCCTTTTTATGTTATGCTCATAATTTGCCAATTGGAGGCCAAAGGTTTTGTCAGTGAAATTTTCCCTGACCCCTAACACAAGTAGATATTCTACCTTTCTGCTTCCAGAACACCTTGCACACTATACTGATGCTGTATTAGGAATTTAGCTATGGTCCTATGACATTTATCTTTGTGTTCTTGGTACCTAGCATAGTAAATGTTTGTTTAAATGAACAAATTGTTATGTGTGTGTTGTGCTAAACTGATACATCACTTAAAGACCATTCCAATACATACAATTTTATGTGTCAATTTAAAATTTAATTAAAACAAAAATAAAAAATTTAAAAGGCCATTGCAAATGACTACTTGCTGGGTTTCTCAGAGCAAGTTCAATAACACAATAGGGAGAGATAGGAACCACTTAAGGAATTTCTTTACTGACTTCAGTTAAAATTAAAAACAGTGTGACTTTTTGTTTTTCGAATAGCACTTGGAGACCAGTATTTCAGAAGAGAGGTCTAATAATCAGAGCCTATTATGGTTTATGTATGACCACAGAATAATATAAAAAAGGCATTAAAGTATTGGATCAGATCAGTGTTGAAACTTTAAGTGTTATTTTGAGCAAAGCTTTGATAATATTGAAGTGGAAGAGTGACATTGCCTATAGTAGAAAAAGAAAAATTTAGGTGAAATGAAGGTCAAATTGAATCTAATTCCTAATGAGCAGATAGAACTAAAGAAAATAAACAAACCTTTAGTTCTTGTTTTTATAAAACATCCAAGAAGCACACTGCATTAATTCTTTGAAATATATTTTGCTTCTTGCTCTAGAGGGGAAATAAAAGAAAACATGACATTTAAGAAATACTTATTTTTATACTTGTGTCCTTCCTTTCTTCTTTGAATAAAAAAATGTGGTTTGATGCATATAAATGAATTTTCTGTATGAAAAGTCAGCATGGACATGGATAAAGGTCATTAAAATTAAAAGTTGTTATTTTTCATTTAAAATATTGTCTTGGCATTATCCCTTATAAATTCAGAGACAATATGGAAGAGTCTTCAATAGTTAATTTAATGACTGTATTCCTGTGTCTTATAGTCTCACTGTAGGTTTGTAAATATTAATGAGATATGTGATAAAATGTAAATGAACTGTGATATGTAGAGAGAGTAGTAGTTGGTATGATAAACTAATGAATTTTTTTTTTTTTTAGCTTTTGTTAAGTAGTGAGTTCACATTCAATGAAAGTTCATTAGAAAGTTTTTGTTCTTTTTTTCTTTGGGCACATAAATATACACATCAAGCTGTAACTTTCCAAGACTTGAATAATTTATAGGCATATTTCTTACTTGAGTTTATAATTTTAATTTTCTAATTATTTGTAAGGACAAATTTTTATGATTATACCATTTCAATTGATCTACTTTAAGATTGGTAAGCATGAGGCTATTTTAGTGGTATTCTCCTAGAAAGTGCTTTAGTAAAGATTTCTCTACAAAGTTTGGCAGAGATGTTTATACAATTAGTAAGTAAAGAAAATCTTGCATAAATGGCTATTCATTAAGATTCCTAAAAAAATCACTTAGAATTTTTAAAGACATCGGATAAATTAGTAAATACAGATTAAATATGTTCTGAGTAATTACTAAAATTAGAGATTTTATGAAATGTATTTATCTTATTTTTGAAGCACTTTGGAGATTATATAAAAATTTTGGATATGTCAACTTTTAAATATATATGGTACTCACTTCTCTTCCACTACTATATAAATTCAGGTAATCTGTTTTGATTTATGTTTTGGACCACTTTGACTAAAATTTTCCATTTTGGGGAAGACTTCTGTTTTATAAAGTATGCCCAATCATATAATTCAAAATAAAGCTAATTTGCTTAATTAAGCTAATTAGCTTAATCTTAATTAAGATTACTAAACATTTTTCCTTTTCCTTTTTGTAATTTAGAGGAAGAGCTTTCCTCTTCCACTGACTTTAGCTTTAAATTCCTACCCCATCCTGAGACACGTGGTTCTCTAAGCACTTTTATCACGTCTATAAAGCTTATGCCTAATGATTTTGAGAATCCAAATCTATACTTGAACTCTATTAATGATCAAAATGAAACTACTAAAAACAGAGAAACTACAGTGACACCAGCAAAACTTAGTCCATGGGAGAAAGGATCATCGCGAAGAGAATTAAGTTTAACCTGAATTTAAAAGCAAAGCAAAAAAGACATTCAAGAGAAGGAGGAAGGAAAGAAAACCACG